CAGCTCTCCCCTCACACCTTCCTTCCAGCTCTCTCCCAGCTCACTTCCTGCCTCTTTTCCCAGGCTTCTACATTTATATATCCCCGTCCATACCCCAACTCCTCTGGGAAATGTATTCCCCCAATTATCTGCCTTCTAACAAAGTCCTGCAGTTCAGCCTACAAGATCCATAAAGCAGGACACTGCCACAGTTTGTCACTGAGTTGCAGGACACTACCACCTTATGTCTCTTTTAAAATCCTTCAGTTTGAATAGTGCAGGGTGTTACATTAGTTTCCCATTTGTTCTTAAGCTTTTCAGTTATTTTAGGGAGATTGGAAAGTCCAAAAGGTTTGTAGCCTTCCTTAACCCCTTCACGCTGGCGCCCTTTAAGAGTTTCAGAAGCCGGGAGGCAGGGCGGGGTTTAGGGTCATATGACCACCGTGACGGCACATGATCGGAAAAGGTCCCGATCAAAAGAGGAGATCGGGACCTTTCTGTGAGTATCGGCCATGTGTGCAGGGAGCGCGCTCTCGGCACATATGCCCTTTTTTAATAGAATGCAAATGTGCAGCCGCTCGGCGTCTAGGCCTAGACACCGGGAGGCCGCACATTTGCGTTCCGCAGGTGTGAAGAGGTTAATATAGCTTTCAAAACTAGAGATGTGCCGGAACAATGCTGAATTGTTTTCCAGAATTTTTCCCACTCTCTCAAAAAGTTCCAATAGGTGGTCCAATTGTTTATTTTGCCATTCATATTGGTTTGGCACATGCATTAACCCAATCCATTCACCCCCCTGATATTCAGCCATGATTACTCCACAATGTTTGGTTATGTGTTCTGGATGTAATGATTTAATTTAAACTGTGTATGCACTTTTCATATAGAACACAGTCTAGTAGCTTTTGTTGGTGTCCCTTTTGTTAGGACCTGATGACCTGTGGCCCTACAGCACACCCCCTTCTGGCCCTATAGAGATGTTGGCTTATTTAGATTTTGCTGAAAAGATAGTGGTTCATGCAGACTGTTTTTAATGATCATTTTGGTGGTACATGCATTCACAAATAATTCTTTAATAGCAATTGATTTTCATATGTCCTAGATTGTAAGCTCGAAAGAGCAGGGCCCTCGAACCCCTCGTGTATTGTTTTGTTACTGTATTGTCTCATGTACTGTCCCCCACTATAATGTACAGCGCTGAGCAAACATTTTGGCGCTGTATAATAATAATAATAATATGTATAACAATTTGATAATGATGTGTTATATTTGTAGACTTTGTTCACATGTACGCAATGTTCAAAATGTGTAGAGTTTTAATGTTGGCTGTTTAATCTGATCTTTGTGTAGTTTCTATGTGAGCCTTTTTAATGTCACACATGGATATGGTCATATACATGTTTTTTAACCATTGTATATTAAATTTTCATTTTTCTTGTTCAAACATTTTATTGGCATTGTAACATGGGGAAAAAGACATTGACAGTAGACATTACACTGAAAGAAAAACACAGGGAATAATGGTCACAGTAATAATGTCTTTCTGGATATGGGAGGAGGAAGGATTAAAAGAACAATACAACATTTCTCATGATATTAATTGGGCAAAAACTATAATCAGAAGGTAACAATATATCAGAGAGAGTTTGACAGGTGGAGATACAAACTCCCCAAGGCTACATAAGGGGGTCAGGGTAGTCAGAAGGAAAGCGGGGGGGGGGGGGTAAAGAAAATTACTCCACAACCGGCAGAGAAAGGCGAAGTAATATGCAAATGCGGTAAGAGATGGTACCAGAATAATGCAGAATATGTAGCTTGGATATCATGGGTGAAGAAGTGACTCATCAAAATTTGTCGGAAGGAAACACTCTACCCAGGGGTTCCAAACACTCAGAAATTTAGGGATAGTATCTTGTATCTTGAGTAACTCTATTCATAACAGCAGCAATGCATAAAGAGGAAGATTTCCAGGACTTTGCTATGACCTGCTTGGCTGCTGCGGTAACTTGTAGAATGAGTTTAAATTGCGAATTGGTTACGCCGGGAGGGCGCAGGTTGAGTAGAGCTGTTATTGGATTTGGTTGAAGCGTGTTAGTGCTAAGTTTGGATAGTATGCTGAAGACGTTAGCCCAGAAGGTTTGAGTAATTGGGCAGTCCCACCAGATATGGTAATGTGTTCCCAGGTCTATACAGCCTCTAAAGCATGTGGGAGAATATTTAGGGGTGTAATTCTCACTGGGACCAAATACCAATGGGTTAAAACTTTATAATTGGTTTCCAAGGCTACAATATTCTGTGAAGATGATTTCGTGTTGGCCCAAATGTGGTCCCAGTCAGATGGGTCTAACTGCCGGCCTGCCGTTTTTCCACCTATGGGTATATGAAGGGGGGGACGTGGTGACCGAGGTGGTGAGAAGGGAATACAGGCAGGAAATGAGGCCACGTCTATGGGGGGTCTTTATAACAAGCCCGTTCAAAGGGAGACATGGTGTTAGTTTGGTTAGTTATTGTAGTGTAAGGGGCGTAAAAGTGTTGTAATTGTAAGTATCAGAATATTTCGGAAGCTGGGAGGTCGTATGTTTCGCATAGTGGGGCAAAGGATTTAAACTTGTTCCTCAGCAGAAAATGATGGGTGCGGAGCATGTTAGCAGAGGTCCATAGTTTGAATGAGGTTGGCGATGACCATGCCAGGGGAAGGGCCGAGTTCCGGAGATATGAGCGCAAGGGGTTATGCAGTGATTGAAGGAGATGGAGAGATTTTAGTTTGTCCCATAGTGATAGATAGTGAGAGATAATGGGGTTCGTTATCGAGCGGCGGTCTATTGCTCTTAGCCATAGTAGGTTAGCAGTAGACAAGGGATCACATTCTATAGATTCAAGGACAACCCACTGAGGGATTTCGTAAGTCGCATGGTATATTGGCAACTGTGCTAAGTGTGCCGCCTGGTAGTACTTGCCGATATCAGGAAGACCAAGACCGCCGTCGAGCTTGGGGCGGTATAGGGTGGAGCGGGGTACGCAGGGGGCAGACAGTGCCCCAGACGTAGGAAAAATGTGACGTTGTAGTGTGCGAAGATAATGTGGGGGTACCGGGATTGGGAAAACTCTGAATAAATATAACATTTTGGGAAGAATTGACATCTTTACAAATGCTATTCTGCCTTGCCATGCAAGTGGTAGGGAGGACCATTTGGTCATGAGAGCAGTAAGATGGGTTAGCATAGGAGTATAATTAGCTGCATATAGATCTGATATGTTGGGGGTCAATTTAATACCCAAGAAAGGAATATGATGCTGTGACCAGGGAATGGAAGAATCTGTTTCAGGTAGGCCAAATCTTTAGGAGGGAGGGAGATATTAAGTGCCATTGATTTCTGGGGGTTTATAAGGCCAGAGAGTGAGCCAAACCTCTCGAGAAGCCAAAGGAGGGAAGGAGAAGAAGTCAAGGGAGAAGTGAGAAAAAGTAGAAAGTCATCTGCAAAAAGGCATAATTTGTAGTGAGAGCCACCTCTCTCGAGTTCACGGACATCCGGATTAGCTCTAATTAGGAGGGCCAATGGTTCTATGGCCAAAGCAAAGAGCAGGGGGGAAAGAGGGCAGCCCTGTCTAGTGCCACGAGAAATTGGAATTGGGCAGACCTGTGTCCTAAGTATCTAATTCTGGCCGAGGGCTCTCGATATAGTGAAAAGATCTAGGATGAAAAGTGAGGGCCAAAGACCCAGTAGTGCAGATATGGCAACGAAACTGTGTCAAACGCCTTCCGGATGTCTAAGGACAGGAAACAGGTGGGAATGTTGCGAGATTCAGCAATATGTGCCAAGAGAGTTGCGTGTCTGGCATTGTCTCCAGTTTGTCGAGTTAGAATGAAGCCCACTTGATCATTGTGGATTAGAGATCCTATACATGAATTGAGGCATGTGGAAAGAATTTTGGCTAGTAATTTGATATCTATGTTGAGGAGAGAGATTGGCCTGTAATTGAACCACTGCGTGTTTGTCTGAATTTGGTTTTGGGATCATTGAGATGTTGGCTTGCACTGTTTCTGGGTTGAAGGTATGGCCCGATAATATGGCGTTAAAAGCATTAGTAAGGATGGGCGTTAGAAGGTGGGCAAATTTTTTGTAATATGTAGCGGAAAAACCATCAGGTCCTAGGTGTTTACGAAGCTTTAAAAATTTAATAGCATTTAAGGTTTCGGTTGGGGTGATGGGTTGCTCTAAAGCTGTCAGTTGGTGATCTGGAAGTTTTGGGCAGGAGAGGGAGGCCAGGAGGGTGTCATCCTGGGAAGGGTCAAAGGGTGTGGAGGAAGAGTAAAAGTCGTGAGAGATGTTTGTGAAAGATTTGTAAGATATGTTCCCGGGTTACTAGTGGGATTGCCAGAAGAGGTGCATAAGCGAATAGGTCTGGTGATCTGATCAAGCCTACAAAGCAAAAGAACTAAAAAGGTGCTGGGTTTATTTGCTTTTGTATAGTATTTGTGTCAGGATCTACGAAGTGAAAGCTCCGCTGATCCATGAGGAAAAGATCCAGGGCCAATCGAGATCGTTCCAGAGCTTCACGGTTGGCTGTGGAAGGGGTCGATTGGAAGGCTTGATGAGATTGGTTGTAGGTTTGTTCAAGGAAAAGGCATTGCTGTCTTTTCTCTTTATTTAAAAAGGACGCTTTGCTAATGCAAAATCTAATTCTGGCTATTAATTATTGCGTTTCTGTGGCATTTTAAGGCCCTGAAAATTCAGGGTGAGAATATTTAAAGAACCCATGGGGAGAGTGTATGGCGTATTGAGTAGTAAGGTACAGGGGCGGACTGACCCACTCCAGCACTCGAGCAGTGCCCGAGGGCCTAGAGTCAGTAGGGGGCCCCATGAGATGCCCCTGGTACCTTTCATTGGTTTTTTCATAGGCTTTTTTGGGTGTGGGCAAGGACACAGGGGCCCCATTATCCCCTATTGCCCGGGGGCCCCATGAGTTGTCAGTCCGCCCCTGGTAAGGTATCACTAGGTGGTGGGGAATCTTGTAGTCACTATGTGAAGCAGTTAGATGGTATAGGAGGCCAGGTGAGGTTGCGGAGCCATGTGGGAAGGAGGGGGGGAGGATAGGATTAGGGAAAGGTGTCAGGAAAAGAATGTAGGGGGCCATTTTAGGCCTAGAAGACACCCAAAAACAGGGTTGTCCAGGCAACAGTAGTAGCCCAAGTGGTATTAAATGAGCAACACCACAGGGGCTAGTGGAGAGTGCACAGGTACGCGGACCGTGGGGATGACAGCATTAAGATAAATATAAGGTAATGAGATCCCGGGGAAAAGGCAGGTAAATAAATTCCCAAAGAAATCAAGGGGTCCTAAGCTCGGGCGGGATCGGCCGTGAAGGCAGGCCAGTAAGGATGAGGAGATGTGGTTTCTCATGCCGTCAGAACTGAGGTCCCCGTACATATGTTGAAATACAACCTAAATAAAATAATGCAAAAAAACAGTATATAAAGCTCAACAAGCTCTCAAGGATATAGGAGAGGCAAAAGTCAAGATAACCTACAACTTGCGGCAAAAAATGAAAAAGAATTTTCCCAATACATATATATTAAAAAAAAAAAAAAAAAACAAAACGAGCCCTGAGGGCTAGCATAAGGATACACAACACCTGCATCAGAGTGTGAGCGAGAAGAATAGGCACCATGGGTGTCAGCTTCTGCACTGGCAAAATGCTACGCAGTCTGATGTGTGTGGTAAGAGAGGAGTTGATGGACGCGACTCAGTCCATGGTGTCTTGTGGAGACGGAGCTGGTGATGAGAAGCGCCCTCGTTTGTGGGTGCTGAGTTGACCATCGGCACAGCGTGGAGGGTAGTATTTCTATGGCGAGCAGGATGCAGATCTCGGTTTGGAGCTTTCTGATGGTGTTGTTGGGGAGTGTAGCTGGAGGTTCAGCAGGGTGTCCAGTAAATCATCAGGAGTCTTGCAGGTGAAGTCTCGGCCTTGGTATTGGAAACGCACTGCGAAGGGGAAGCTCCATCTATACGGTATACTGTGTTGCTGGAGGGCTTGCAGATGAGGTTTCATAACCCTGCATTTAGCTATATTAGTGGGGCAGAGGTCTTGAAACAGTTGGTAGGTGTGACCTTGAAACTTTAGGGATTCCGTATTGTGGGCTGCTTGTCGGAGTTCTCTTTAGTGAGAAAGAAGTGGAGTGAACCCTGTCCATTTCTAAGCATTCAATTGGAATGGCTGGGGCAAGCTCTTGGAATAGCGCTGTGATGGTTGATTGGACATCGACGACCGATTCTGGAAGGCCACGGATTCGTAAATTTGAGCACCTTGCCCGGTTTTCAAAGTCCTCGAGACATGCTTGCAGCATTGCGTTTTCGTAACGCAGAAGGTCTAGGTCATCCGCATACCTCTGAAATGAGGCGTCAAGGTCATCTATTCTCTGTTCTCTGTTGTCCTAGTTCACAAATTTCTCTGGACAGCATGGCTATGATGCGGTCAGAAGTTTGTTTAAGGGCTTTATGCAGCATCCTCTTAAAGCGCATGAGTAGGTCAGGGGGTGTAAGGTCAGGTGTTGAAGCGTGTGTGGGGGTCTCTGGGTCGATGTCAGACTCACCCTCTGATGCACAGGAATGGCTGGTCTGCATATCCTGCAGGGCTGCATATGCTTTTGCAGCATGCTTGCTGCCAGGGGATGGAGCGGTGGCCATCTTGGAGGAGGCTTTGGCCAGTGCCTCCTTAATTGACTTGCTGGGCAGCGGAGCCTGGTGATGGGGTGCTCCCATGACCATACTGGAACGAGTCAGGGGGGGGTTGCCATGGAGACGCTTATTATACTGTGCAGGTCGGGATCCGTGGACGGGCAGCTGTCTTACCCGACGGTGAGACGGAGCTCTAAGGGGACATGTCCGTCCCGTCGGCCGTGCATGCGCACTCCTACATTTTAATTTTTAACTGTATGACATGTATTGTCACCACAGTTTTTGAATATGTCCTTTTCTAAACAAACATCATCTGTTCTGTGCATCAAATATAGGATGTGGGCATATTAGTACAGAATTTTCTCCTTCCGCTTTCTTTAGTACCAATGTGGTGTAAGGCATTGAAAGACTATTTTAGCTGAAAGGAAGTTTTTTTTTCTAGTTTCTGTGTTTAATCAATGTTTTCTTTACACCTTTGCATTTTTTTTCTTTTAGCGTTTAGAGCTGCAATTAAGTGTATACTGGGGGCTAGAGGTGGATGAAGCTCTGTAGTGGGGGTGGGATGAGAATGGGGAGTTAGGAGGTGGAAGGAGGATTGTACTGGAGGAGTGGAAGGATGGGTGGGGGAGCTCTATGTACTGGAGGTCGGAGAATGAGGGGTGAGGCCTGTTGGACATCTAGTATTAGGGGGGGGAGGGGGGGAGCTTCGTGTATTGGGGGTCTAGGTGGTGATGGGAGCTTGTGCTGGGGGGTGGGGTGAAGGATAGAGGGAGCTTTGCGCTGGGAGGAGAATGATGGCATGTGCCGTACCTCAGGTAAGTGTGGGGATGGGGCTGCAGGTAATACAGATAATACAGCCCTGGATGAGTGCCAATGCAGATCAAGTCTAATGGCACACACAATTGTCAGTTTTAAAATCACTTATAACCTGTGCTCTCAGATAATTCATTGTATGTGATATAGCCTACCAATAATAACTGCACCACCAACCCTCTCTTCTGCTAACCTCATTGTGCTTATCGGCTGCTGCTTCTGAGAAAGGTACTGATCTTTAGATCTAATATTATAGCAAAGAAGCACTGCCCAATTAAACGTTGTGGAATACTGCATTATATACACAGATCAATAAAATTCATAGCAATGTGAGCTCTATATCACAATATTAAATACAAGTGCACATCACAAAATATATTAAATAAATAAAATATAAATTATTTTTAAATTAAGTGGTATATAGTCTCTTTGTGTGCAACGTGCCATAATTTCTTCATAAGGTGCAAAATTCCTGTTGTGCTCCCCTCCAGTGGTCCCACTTACTCACAACTTGCGTGGACTCTTAATCTATTATAAGAGTCCTATCGTGCTTGTGTATGCTTAATAGGTTCAGTTGGAGTTGCAGTCCTTTACCTGATCTCCAGTTTCCGACTTCCCATTTACAGTTATCAAACTCATACAGTTGTAAACAGAGACGAAAAGGGGGCCCACATAGTGAAATACTGTTTAATTGTAATTAAAAACCAATTTGTCTTCCACTCACATGTAATGACAGATTTCCAAACATGAACATCACAAATGCCGGATCACGGAAGTAGTGTCACCAGCCCATCTCCCCTCTGATGTGTTTCGCCCCTCTCCCAGTGGCATTCCTCAAAATGCAGCTTTTGAGAACGCCAAGTGGGAGAGACAAAACACGTCAGGTGGGAGCCGCTGATGACGTTAGTTTCCGTCGGTGGAACGCCTATTCCTAAAGCTCAACATACTGGTTTGACTTAATCTGCACCACATTTTTGGAGCCATGAATCAAACATTACAGATGTTAAAAATTGGAAAAGATGGGCTTAGTCAACTCAAAATTGGACTAAATTTTTTAATGAAACTTTTCTATCAGCTTTCTGGGGAGGAG